TGGCTGAAGGATACAGCCTCCCTTCACCCTGCTCACATCCCACCATTCCCACAAACTACTGGTGAAAAAAAGGAGATTAGTTCACAACTTCCCCTGCTGTGGCCACACAGGTGTCAGTACTGCTGCGAGCAGAATGTGCCAAGATGAGGCCCTGGGAGCAGGCAGGTTTTCACCTTTTAGTGTTATTGAAGTTACAGTGGAATTCCTGCTCTAGAGAAAAGGCCAGTGTGAGTATGAAGAGTAACAGGAGAAACCTGCACATCTGCAGAATAGTCCTGCAGTTCCAAACATACTGGAGTCTTTGTTCCACATATTACCTTAGATCCGTAAACATAAAAATGGGCTGATGCCACTAATTACATTGTCAATAAAAGAACAACTGACACTGCAGAAGTGCAAATGTTTCCAAATTTCTACTGAACTAAACACCATGCTACTGATTCTGGGCAATCCTGAAGAGGAAGCACGGCCTGCCATCTGCAGCTCAGTGCAGAGTGTGGACACACGTGGCAGAGGAAGCTCTGATGCACTTCAAAAAGGGATGGAGCTTTACTGGCTTTATCTCACTGAAAGAAACCAACAACCAGTAAATTAAGCTGTGGCAAAATTTAGAAGAGAGGACTATTCCTCCACTACAACTCCCTTAGACCTATATGCTCCAGTTCCAAAAGTTTATTTTAGCCGTATGAAATTCATTTACCACCATCAAAATTCCAGTGCAAGTAGTACTAAATTCCAACAAAAAAATGGATTAAAAAAATTAATCCACTACAGATGGGATTATTTCAATATTTGGCACTATCAGTGGAGATGAAGGAGAATACCAGGTCCTTGATAAACAGGAGAGAAAATAATGAAATATTATTACACTATATACAGATAGATACACATGGAGAAAAAATCCCAAAAAGCCATGGTTGAGTTTTTCACCAATATTAATGAACCACCCAGAAAAGGAATAATGAATATCACTCATCTGGCTTCCATGAAGGCAGGTTTGATTTACAAAATGAGTCAATGAGATGGTGGAAAACTATTAAAGTACATTAAAAACTGACTTAGGGTCAGGAAAAGCAGCATAAGATCAAGTTTTTAATTTATCCAGTGATCTGAACTGAACTATATAGTCTGACATAAAACTATTCTGTCAAAAGAAGAATCTTATAAAACAGAAGATGAAAATGTCCTTTTTAAAAGTGACTGATATAAAAATTTTAATTTCTTCACCCTACCTTTTGCTAGATTAAAAGAGTCTACATTCTTATAGGGAGCAGCTGAAATTATTGAATTGGTTTGGATATGACTTTGTAATAGATATTACTTTGATACATGCTAACTTTTGAGCAAAGTGTTTGGTTGATGTAGATATCAAAACTATTTTATTTCCATTTTTGAGTAAAAATGAAGTTATTTGGACAATAAAACCAATACAGAAAAGTGCAATATAATAATATGGTTATTAACATAGAAAATACCTTAAAAAAGTGAGAGAATCAATTCCCCAAATCTAACCAGTAAATTTGAACTATATACCCTAGAAAACTCTGTCTTCCCTTCTCAGAGTATTAGGAATTCAGCACAGATTATCAGGGAGATACCATGACTTCTGTGGGTCTGCTGAGTCCCTTTCTGACAGCTGTTGGAGATTTCATTGTTAGTTCCTTGGATACCCGAATTAAAATCAACTCTCCTGCCTGTGATACTGCTGCTGATTAAGAATCCTCCACCCTTTTTTCAGGCCAAATCCATCACAATATCATTATTTATTTAGGTTTTTTCCCCTCCACTAAATGCCCTGATCAGTGAATTGCATTCACACATCTTTTAATATTCTTTCCTAATTATTTTATACTCCTTGGGGGATCTTATCTACTCAATGCCCTACAAAGAGTGCTCTGCCACTTAAAAGACCCGAATTTGCAATTTTCTTATAAACTGGTTATAAAGTGAAGTGGTTTGTGCTGAGGGGGCCACTAAGCTTTAGTCTCAAGGACTGAACTTTGGACCCATTGTACTTAAAAATCCTTTTTAATAGCTTCAATACATACACTTACACAAAACCCCCAAACAAACCAGAACTGCATTAATGAAAGCAATATCAATATGCAGAAATGTCACAGTACTAAAGAAATCATCTTGAGAGCTAGAATAACAAGTGAAACAATTCAAATTACAAGGTCATATGCCTAAGAGTGTAGGAACAAGAATTTCTGTTGCACGCTGAAATCATCAGCTGAAATTATAAAGGAAAACATGTTACTGTTTGACCAGCAGGAGAGACACCAGCATGTTCTAGTTACAAAGCTGTGATTAATCAGGAGAGGCATTTCCAATATGCACTCAGAAGATTGCAGGCTGCTGAAAAAGTCAGGGATAAAACCTCCTATGAAAGAGCACATATAGCTCTGACTACTCATATTTGCAGAAATTAATGCCCCTAAGCAGAGGCAGAAAAAGGCTAGGAAATGGAAACCCTGTCGTTTCAAAAACCCTAAAGACTGGCTGGCTCACTTTCCCAAAATGAAGGCAGGATTAGAGGAATGTAAGGAATGGCACATCAGATGGTGAACATCTCAAGGAAGAAGAATTATCAAAGTTGAAGGACAGCACTGGTGAGATAACAAAAGTAGAACTTGCTGTGAATAAATTCAGGCTGCAAAGAGAGTGGTTCCAGTTCTCCAAAGGGGTGAGCTTCTGAAACAGCATCCTCATAAAAATAATAAGGGTGATGGGGTTTAAGATGAAGCTTGGTAATGAATAAGATTGCATAATGTTACCTAGTACAGAAAATAATTGAATTTGACATATGAAATATCTTACTATCCCATGTTCCTGTCACTTTTCCCAATTCCTCTGCAGCTAGGGTGCCAAAAAGTCTGCAGACAGAAAGTTGGCAGGAGTCTGGGGACACAGCTGCCCATTTTGGTGCTCACTTGAGAAGCAGCAACATGTACATGGCGTCCCACCAGGGCCACTGGACTGGGGCTTTCCTATCATTTTCTTATGCTGCTCCTTTCTGCTTCTTACTGTCCTGTTTTAGGGATGGAATAACACAAAACAAATCTCAAGCAAAAGGATTTTTATGTGGGAGACCACATACACACTTCCCCAGCATTTTCTGTAACACTTTCTGTAGGCCTTGCACAATGGTTTGTTTCTGTTCCTTAATGTTGCTCTCTGAAGGGATAAAATGTTTTCAGAGCTACCCATTGCAGTACATAGGCTATTTCTTCTTGCAAGGCTGAAACTAATAGGAGATTTACCTGTGGGTATTCTGCTGCTCTTTTACATGAATATAATATTTGTAATTGATTACAAATTTAAATCACATTCTTGGTGCTACTGTGAAGTTGCACTTCAGGCCCAAGAATTTGTTGTGAAGCTGAGAAAAAACAACATATTTGGAATGATAAGCGTTGTTCCAAAAATAAAAATGTAGCAGAAACTGGCATTTTAAAATTTTCATTGTACTTGCTACTATTATATATCAGACTCTTACAACCACAGAGCAATATGTATTATATTACACAGACCTAACAAGGTTCCACAAAACAGATTAAGGAGCAGCACAAACATGAAAACCCAGTTCCTCAGAAGCCTTTCAAACACTCCAGGATGATCTAACCAACAAGACACTTTACATCATTTAAGCAGAAGATCAAACATGTCACCAAAACCCACCCGTACTTCCAGTGGCCTCGCTGAAAGTGAACTCTTAGAGAGAATTAAAATTCCCATGCATTTATCTGGGTATGATGTAAGAGTCTTGCTGCTAGAGGCCGTGTCCTCTGAGGTACCGAGCCCTGCCTGAGGAGTCTGTGAATTCTCATCTTTCATCTGGGCATATGAATATTCCATGTTATGCCAAGGTCAAAAGCCAGGATTGAAAGTGCTAACCTGGTTTACATTTTAATACTTAAAAGCACCACACCTGATCTGGTTCTCCTCAGCAGAGGTACAGAATCCATTGTTGTGTGTCTGTGCACAGCCTGGAGACCCTTGTCCTTATCCTACAATTTTTTTTTTTTCTTCTTGCTATGCATATTTACCCTTAGAGAGCATCTAGCTCTTACCCTCATCTGCCACTTTGCAAGCTGTCAAATGACTATTCAAGCATTAAAAAAAATGAAGGGTCTGTTAAGTTGTAAATTAAATGACAGTCTATAGCTGAAAATTAGCAGTAACGTGCCCAAAAGTTTATTGATTGCTAAGAAAAGGTGAATAACCCCCCCTACAGCTGACTGTGTAATTACTGACCTTTAGAACCCCAGAGCTATTAATTTAAGAACAGATAACAGTGAACTAGCAAACGAGTTGTTTTTCAGCAGGATAGTGAAGGCACATATCAGGTTTTTGCATGTGTTCAGTGCGACCTTGAATAGTATTATTACATGCCTGTATTTTCCATTTTAATGCAGAATATAACCCAAGATATATCTGGACAAAAAATGCCTGTCAACTAGTTCAGAAAATCAGTGGGATTTCCACAGACACTGTGGCTTTTCAGTACATTTGCAGAACTCCACATCCTTCCAGAAAGGTTCTAAATTACTGCTAAAGGCAGGAAAATTGTATTGCCAAGCTCAGCCCCCCTGGTACATGTCCTGCAAAGGTTTCATCTGTACTCCAGAGATGGAGATGGAAATGGCCAGGAACAGGAGAATAGCAGACAGTAATTCAGCATCAGTACAGTGGCAGACACACACACACAAAAAAAAAACAAACCCTCAACTCTCTTGATATTGCTAAATTTAATCTGCTATAGACTACTGCACAATTCATAGAAACAGCAGCCTAAAGACTATTAACACAAATGCGCCAGCAATATTTAACTTTTCTCTTTCTTCTAAATAATCAGCACTTATTATAATGGAGAAATAGCTACCTTTTGGCAAAGCAAACTATATTTTAAGAGCACTGGTCAGGTGGTGGAGTTTACAGTAAGAAAAATGTAAAAAATATCTGTTAACTGAAAGCAATGAAAGAAAAAGGTATCTGACCTGGTGCAGAAGTCCTTCCATGAAGAGTAGTTTCGTTGGGCAGGAGATCTTTTGAGTTGGAAGTGAATGGTGATTGTCTAAATGTGTCTTCAGAAAAGAAAGGGCTATAGGAAAAAAAAAGATGCCTTTTTTAAAGAAAACAGCAGTTAACAGAAGAAGTAAATATGAATTTTGACCTCAACATCTTAATATTTTAAGAAATCCCATCTTGTTAAAGAAACAGTTTCACTTACAAAATTCATGCTGAAAAATAGGCAGACCATGAGGCAGCGTGCTTTGGTAAAATTGCACTTCAGAGTGAAAAGTGAAGACCTCACAAAAGGCTTTTTGCTACATTTCAACATCTCACATTTGCAATATCACAATACAACATGGATCATTAAAACTAACACTTCAGAAGTTTGCATTCCATTGTTATATCTGGAGAGGGCAATCAGGAAAGGTAAAAAATTTCCTATTTAATAATCTGAAGCATACAGCAGTCATCTTTAAAACAAAACATTTCAACTATTAGGTTAAGATGCTGAATAATTCTACTCTGACATGGCCTTCCATGAATGAAACTGCCCCCATGAATTTGATTTTTAAAGCAGGAAACAATTCATAAATTGAACAGGTGTATCCCAAAGAGCACAAAGCACAAAAATTACCAGCTACATTATTCCAAAAAGAATATTTTACTTTAGTTTTAATCAACAGACAAAGTTAAAAAAGTTAATTTCAATAGTGAAATGGCATCTCTATCAAAGTATTTGATTTCTGCTCAATTAAAGATCATAACAGAAATAAGAAATCCTTGTCTGCAGTTCAGATAAGACATCTGCAAAGGTACATAAAGACATTCAAAATTGAAAACTACGGCCTTCTTGGAAAAATGCTTTCTAAGGGAATGCATGCAAACTATCACGCTTCTTCTAAGCAAAGTGAGAATCACTTTAAATCTGATCTCTCCCAGACTGAGAATCCTTAACAGGCTGGTGTACAGTGGGTGTTTTAAAGGTGCAGAACAGAAGGCCAGACCATTTCTGCAGCTTTTTCTTACTCAGGAATAAAATCCAAGAATCTTTTCAGGATAAAGGACCTACTATGAGACCTTACAAGGTGTTGCACAGCAGGTATTCCAGACTCAAAGTACGTGCCAGCTGCACCAAGCTGACCTCACCAGTCCAGATACCCAAAAGGCATCACTTGCCTGTGCTTTCCCTCATGCATTTTTTCTGCAGAGTGAACAAGGTGTCTCCACCAAGTCACTTGTATTCTTAGCCAGATCTCTTCTGCCTCAGGGAAACTTGTTGGTAATTAGCTGACTTGATTGTGAAACACTTTTGGCAAGCATGTTGTTTTACTTTCCTATTACGTTTTTTTGGACACTATTCATTTTGTGCTGTTCCATATTTGACAGTTAATGGGATATTTTGGTGTTTCTACAAAAGTCTGAACACATCCATAAGCAGTCAGCATTAGGCTGTGCTGCAGGAGAAGGCGTGAAGTTGCCCCAAACCTGAACAGTCTGGTGAATGCCAACAGCTGAACAATGCAGGATACTCCAGAAAACAAGTGACCAGGATAAACCAAAACAGCTCCAACACACATGTGTGAAACTTAACTTGTTCCAAGACTCACACTCCCACTCAGGGGTGACCTAATACAAAACAGACTGACACTGTATAAAAATATGCCATGATTTATTGCAACATTCCTCTCACTGGTTTAATAATGATTTGAAAGAAAAACAGCAATAAAAATTTTTTATTACTATTGTAACTCTTCAAAATCTTGTCATCCGCTCGGGTTCCCATGCTGGCTTTCCTGCTTGTGCCTTAGATGCAGTCACTGGGACACTGCTCACTGCTGGTTCTAAGCAAAACAGATGGTGCAGGGTTTATCTATTTCAGGTTAGGGCATAGATCATGAGCAGGTGCTGTTGAAGGCCACATCATGTCATATCCCAAGGATTTCCCTCTCCTCCACTGGCCTCTGGTGAATTCTAGAACCATCCTTGGATACCTCTTTTCTGCCTTCCTCTAGAATGGCAGCAGAGTCTCTTCAGAGGAGGCCCTATTATTATTTCTATTTCAGCAGATTTGTCCTCCGATTCCTAGTGCAAAGTGTGGAGGGAGGAGCTCCTGCTTCACAGCAAGAAATTACACATTGTCCTCAATCACTGTGCAAAGTCCTTTCTGACGAAGGTTAAGCTTTAGGATATTTTTTATTTTTCCTTTGGCTGCGCTTTTCCAGTTTCATGGCTACACAGTTCTCTAGATGAAAGAAACTTATCTTGGCATCTTATGCTGGCGTACTCACTCCACATCACTCGCTTCTCCACTTTCTGTCTTCTCATCACAGATGGCAGGCTCTACCATCTCACTCAGCCACTGAACTATGAGGAATCCTTGCCAGTTCTGGCTGCTTAAGCAAAGTCATATGGAAGTATATGCTGGCAAAGTCCAGGGATACTCACAGGAGGAACAGCAACAGATAGGGGACAGTTAGAAATGTTAATGAGGAATAAAGCAAAAAGTGCTTGTGTACCCATCTTGCTGGGGTTTGCTGATTTAAGCCTCACCAGTGACACAGCTAAATCTTTGTGCTTCCCAGCCACTCACAGGTGGACAACAGTGACCTCACCTTGGCTCTCTGCAGCTGTCAGCACATTTCACACAGCAATTGTGATTCAAATGCCTTTCTGTCATTGCTCCAGATGTGGGCTGGTGAGCCAAACTGCAACGCCACATGTTTTCTTAATGCACTCCAAGTGCCTCTATCCTCCACTGGCTGCTCCATCACATTCTATTTTTGAGAAGGCGTCATACCCTGACCAGTAAAGACTTCCAGCTGTTTATTTGGTTTGGGGTGGGTTGTTTTGGTTTTTTTGGCAAGGTCTTTCAAGTCAATCTGTTTGAACTCACAGGATTTAGTAGACTGACTCACTTCCCCTCTTTAAGAAGCTCTCCTCATTCATGTCTTCTTCTGCTGATAAATAGGCAAGATAAGAAAAGCACCCAGAGAAACAACCAGGCACTCAGCATTTCATGCCTTGATGGGTAGCAGCCACTGTAAGGACGTCTCAGTAAAGCTCAACACAAGTTTGACAACAGCCAACTGTGCTATCCCCTTAAAAGTTGGCAGCCAAAAGAAGGGCAAGTTATCTTTGAACTGTCCTCAACCTTTTCAATTGGGATTATCTTTGATAGATCCAAAAGTAGCTCTGGATTCTCACACCAGTCCTGCTGGTAACATCATGAGACACTGACATCTATTTTCAACTATTTGTCAGCCTGTCCCTGCAGTGCACCCTGGATGGTTAATGAGTAGTTGGACAATATGTGCATTTCTCTTTGTTGGTGTCTCAGGCTTATGCTTTTTAAGCAGCACAGAAAGGCTGTGCAGGCTGCATATCCGACAAATTCCCACACTAGCAAATATGGGAAGCATTCACTGTAACCAGAAGCCAAAAGCTCAATTGAATTATCTTTCAACTTGTAACATCAAAAAGTCCCTAATGTACATTTACTGAGCTGGTCAGTTTATTAAAAACAAGTTATTTATTGCAGCTACCATGAATGAAATGGATAGGTCTAGAAATTTAAGTACACTGTATTTCAGAGACCTCTTCTTTGCAACTGAAATGCTTTTCCATTCTGTCTCGGCAAAGTTGTTATAAGTTAACACTGAGAACTTCTGTAAAGGGGCTGTAGAGGCAAGAAGCTCTTACTCAGTCTTTGAATAAACTCTTCATCACTTCAGTGTGCTTAGTCTCTAACCCATCCACAACAATTAGGGAACTTTCAGGTAGGAAAGAAATATATCCTTGTCAATTCCTGCCTACTCCTACCCTACCAAGGGCTCCGAAGTCTTTACCAATTGCAGACACCACTTACTGTGTAAGAGCTTTAAATCTTCCCATAGGGACACTTCACCTTGCTGCTCATGGATGCATAAACACCTTGTGGGCTTCTTCCCAGCCACAGTGCTGTAAAGTGCACATTTCTTTAACAGCGGTGGCCACAGTAACTCCTACTTAATTTAAATTATTGTAGTAATGTAACTGTAATCTTTAACATGTCCTGTTACCACCGTCTTAGTCTGACTTTTCAAAATTCATCTCCCTAGAATGTACTGAGATGACAGAAATACTAAATTGAAACTTTTCTAAAGAAATCTTGCTAGACATAAAACAATCAAAATCACCTCTTCTTACATTGGTCCACTTCTTAAAATCCAGTTGTCAGCCTGGTCTTTCCTCAAGCACTGCATATACCATGCAGTTTCTTGTAAGTTTCACTTTTTGTTGAAAAAAATAACATAAATAATTCTTAAAATGATGTGTGACTTCTTGATCAGAGGAGAACAGACAAAAGCCTTTGGGCCTTTTTGACTTATGAACTCTAAGCAATCAGATCTATAGTTGTAGTTTTTCAGATACGGGTTCCATCACTCACAGAAATATGTTACATTTGTACTGTCAGGTCACATTTGCAGAAAACAGACAGGTTTGAGTTTACAAGGCAAAAGGAGGCAATGCTATTTACAGTGTAGCTCTGCAGGTAACCACAGGCTGTACTTACCTGGCTGTAGTTCTGATGGTGTTATCTTTATTGTGGTTGTGCTCTTTGCTCACCTTTTCTGCAGAGGAACACATAGGAGTTTTGTGATTAGCATATGCCACATATTCTCTACCAAATTTTATTCAGCAGAACTATTTTAATGCTTTTAGGTAACAGAATGGGCATGACTTTATTTAAATTAACACCCAACAAGTTTTTTCAGCTCCACATGTCAGTGTTAGAGCTCCATGCAGAGTGTGCAATGCAAGTGTTCATTGAACACTGGTCCCACTGCCTTTGTGTAACAGATGAGGTTCACCTTCTTTGCCAAGGGAAGTCGGCAGTGCAGCCACAGGAGTGTTGCATCCTGCAGCCACTGGCCACTTAGGCCAGGAACTGCCATCTGCAGATTCCCCTCTACAGCGATCAAAGCAGTCGTCACAAATTATTTAATTAGCTTTCAAAAATACAGGAGCTGAACTCTGGCTTTTCCAACTCAGTCGAAATACTGTGAGCCTGACCTGGCTGCCACAGTGCTTTAAAGCATATGCAGACTATGGGGAACATTTGGCAAGGCCTCTCTGTTTCAAGTGTGAGGGCTGGAAGGTTCCTATTAGTTTTCAGCCCTGGTGATCTCACAGTTTTGTGGAACTTTGGGGTTACACACAAAAAAAAATAAATCTGACTTTGCTCTTTAACTTCAGCTATTGAGCAGTTTGCACTGGATGTACCTGAGAGCTGGAAGAGCAGCTCAGATGCCATCTTCACTGATATGTCCTGGCTGAAGAGATTTCTCTCAGGGAGCACCCGGCCCTCGGGTGCCTTCTGGATGTCGCGCCCCAGTAAAGTGCTGTAGCCGACGTTCTGGCCGGCCTGGCTGGGGGACACGGCCGCCTGCGACTCGTGGATGTCAACTTCCATCGGCTCCTCCTTTATCTTCACCATCTGGGCTTCCTTGAAACTCTCGGCTGCAAATATGTATTCCAAAAAAAAGAAAAGAAAAAAGAAGAAACAACCGCCATAATTATTTAATTAGGCTGTAATTTTTCAGAGTGCTCAAAGCAGAAATCACAATTACCAAGTTATAATTTGTGTACCACATCCCTGCAAATGGGAAGGGAAGCAAGCAGCTGACAGCCTCAGCATTCTTCTGGCTGTTATAAATAGAAGCAAGCTCTTGAAAATAATTTTTCAAACTAGAAAGCAGAAAACAGTTGCATATTTGCAAATATGAGAGTTACATCACTGTCTATGAATACTTCGTGTGTGATGACACACTAGTTAGTGAAGCTTTGTCTCTATTTATTAAATGAAGTTTCAGCTCCACCCCAGCTCTCCTGAGGTGGGCACTGAAGGCCTCTTACAAACTCCAAATTACTCTGTTTCAGCAGAAGTACCAGCACTGACAGTCTGAAGTACCAGTATGGGGACAGGGGCAGAGGAAGAAACCTCATCTTCTCCTCTCTCTTGCTCTTTTATGGAAAATTCCAGAAAACCATGTGAAGAACCTGTTCATTATACCTGCACAAGCTTTCTAGATGAGAGGAATATTCTGGGGTTCATGCTTTTCTCAAGGCTGACAGATATCCCTCAGGCATTACAAGGTCCATTAACCTTAAGGAATAGTTTTCTTAAGTCCATATCATCCCCTCCTTGCCTTCCTCTCCAGTGTCCCAGGTCTAGCAAACAAAACCATAGCCTAAAAGCCAATTTCTAGAAACTCCAGAGACAGCACAGAAAAGACAATATGTCTGGAGAATCAAGAACATACATAATTGCATGAACAGAGTTAAATACCAGAAGGAACAGCCAGGTAAGGAATCATTCCACCAAAATTTGTTTGCTCTGGTTTTCCCCATCCTCTCTAACTCACATGTGAGTGTGTCAGCTTCACAGATTTTACTCCAAGTGTGAAAGATTCAGGCCTTTCATTTTCAATTACCCAATATTACAATGGATCTCAGAGGCACCAAAACATGGTTTGGTTATCCCCAAAAATGTTTTCAACTTCCTCAGCTGGTTGGTGTCACATTGTCGCCTCCAGCAAAAGATGGACAGAATCCCTTTATCATGAAGGCATAAGCATTCTACCTAAAATTAAACTGATACATATCACCAAGTCCTTTTTCATTACCTTGGGTTTTGCCTCTCTCCACATTCCTGGAGTAGAGAAAAAGTGGCTTTACTTCCTACACCTCTTAAAAAAAAAAAAAAAAATTGAAGCCAGGAGATAAACGCCACTTGGATATGTTCCAGGAACAATTTACATGAAGTGCTTTCAATCTTTTCTTATGACATTTCTTGACCTTTAAAAGACACATCTAAACATTGGTAAAAATCTTTACCCTCTACTATCCACAGATACATCTCAGACTTCAGAAATTTTTATAGTGAATTCTCAGCTGAAGACTAGTCGGAAATATCATGCCTTTTTTTTTGCCCTGTTAAGAAGATTTTTCTCTTTTTAAAATTTTGTTTGAAGCTTCCATTACTCCCTTATTAGAAAACCACAAAACCTTGCATCTGTGTTAAAAAGTGTAAAAATAGCATGCTGTGCATTGAAAGTGCACACAGAGCAGCAAAGGAACGCATCAGGTAACAGTGTCAATCAAAAGCTCAGGTAACTCCACAAACAAATGAGTTCTTCAGATGTCTGACAGACTGAGCTCTGCACCCAGCTGCCAAATTTAGGTGCAGAGTCAAGCTGACCTTTGCTGCTCTCTCTGCTTTTAAAATATTCTTTCTATTTCTGTTCCTGCTCCACACAGTTTAATTCCCTGTCCTGCAAGTGCTTTTGTATCAGACAAACTGGTAGGACCCCAACTAAGGCAAGAGTCAAGCAACACCAGTGACCTTCTCTCCCTCACCATCAGCGAGCACTGCAATTGCCTTAACTACATCTACATATTTGATCATTTCCTTTGACCTTTATCTTTCCAGCTGCACCCTTTTGATCTGACAGAATGTCCCTGCCAAATGTGAATTCTCTCGCACTCTAAATCCCCAAAGCAAACACACAAAGAGAAGACTGAAGGAGGGTTTCTGATAATTTTACAAGAGCTAATGAAAGGGAAACACAGTCAGTCTGTCCCACGAGCAGCAATCATAGGCATAAAACCCTGCTGTGCTAGATCTTGTGCTGGCAAAATACTGTAATTAAGGTTATGCCCATACCTGTCTCACCATATAGGCAGTCAAACGCCAGCTTCTTGGGGATTATTTTCCCTTCTGTGCTGTTCATTGTGGAGAAAGGTGATAGCCCTTATTTCTTTACACAGGTATCTCACATGGTTATAGCACAGCTAAAGTTTTTCAAGTCAAGTACAGGTACACAAAAAGGTCTCCTGCTTTAAATAACGAAATCATTTTCTCTTTGACTTTTATAGGAGACCTAGTAGGTGAGCTGGTTAAATAATCTGCAATGTATCAGAATAAGAAGTTAGTATATGAGAATCAGGGTTTTTTTCTTCAGGTCAGATTTCTATAATAGTACAGCAAAATTTGTGGGCTAAAGAGACTCAAATAGCTCAGAAGTAGCCAGACCATGATCTCAAAACACAGTCTGCTATTCATTCAAAACTAATCTGGGTGAGGCTCAGAGTAACAGCACAGCAATGCTGAGACACTTCATAGGGCAAAAGATGAACTAAATCAGCCAATATGTCTTTTTCTCCTATTAACTGTGTGATATAAAAACACCTTAACAAAATAAGAGGAAACTATTTTATACATGCATCTTTATCAAGCCACAGAGAAGCTGTTTCTTTACAGAGTAGTGTAGCTTTAATCATCTTAGCTACAAAAGCCTTAATGGATGTCATCCTATTCACATTGAGTGAGACAATTTTCCACATCAGATATGAAAAATGGTGCACTGGACAGGCTTGTTCCAAGACAAAGCAAATTCTTCCACAGTTTTCAGGTTCTCTGGCATTCACAGATGCAAGGAATCACGAAGTAGTGATACTTGCTAAAAAACCTCTCCAAACCTAGAACAGCAGAAATGTAGAACAATACTTGTGCTGAGTAAAGCCTAAAGCCCTGAAAGCTCAGGGTACAACATTTATCCCTGAAGGCCTGGCAGTGTCACCTCTATAAGGTGCAGCAGTAAGAGCATTTCTGGAATTTAGTGTTAGACAACATAATTCTACAGCCTAGAACAGAGGCTGGCAAGTTCTAGAAGGACCTTATTCAATCTCTCTGAAAGTTGGGACTATCACAATCCAGCTCCAATTGAGGACAAGTCAGCAAAGTGCCTTTGTGGCACCCAAGGCCAGCCCTATTTTGGGCCCCATTATCAGATCTGCAGCCATCAGGCAGAGGGAGGGGATTCTTACCCTCTGTTCTGCTCTTATGAGGCTGCGTTTAGGGTACTGTGCCCTATATGGGGCTCCCTCAGTGCAGGACAGACACTGACATCCCAGAGCATGTTCAGTGGAAGGCAACCAAGGTTGTCAGAGGGCTGCTGCAAGACAGAAGAGGAGATCAGCTGTGAGAACTGGGTTTGTTCAGCCTCAAGAAAAGAACACCAAGGGGACACTTTATTGCTGTCAACAGCTCTCTAAGGAATAGAGGGAAGGTGCAGAGAAGTTCAAGTCAGATTTCTCTCATAAATGCCCAGTGATCGTATGAGTCAACAGACAAGACGGAACATGGGGAATTCTATTTATATATACAAGAAAAAGAATTCCCATCAGGATGAGGAAATGTGACACACATTGCTGAGACAGGTTGGGTTCTCCATCCCTGAACACATTCTAAACTTGGTAAGACCCTCAGCAGCTTGCCTGGCTTGACCTGCTCTGAGCAAAGGTCTGGAATGGATGACCCTGGGGATGCCCTCCAAACAAAATTATTTCATGTACCTTCAGCACTAGGCCAGCTGCAGGCTCATCTTGCAGAACTTTCAGAAGGAAGATCACACTCATTCTAATGCAGCACTAGAAACTTTTCTTAATGTCCACTCTGAACTTCCCAAACTGCAGCTGGCAGCTGTTACCCCTTCTTTTACCATCTACCATCTGCAGGGAGAAAAGTTTAACTCTGCCACTTTTCCAAGTTTCCTTCAAGTAGGCGCAGGCTGCAATTAGATTGGCCTTTAGTTCTCCTGTGCCAGACTGAACAAGCTCAGCTCCCCCAGTGCCTCACAGCATAGGGAAGCCATGACCTGATGGACCTGATCAGAAGGTTGCAACACTTTCCCTGTGCAGGCAGGCTGAGAGAGCTGGGGTTGGTCAGCCTGGAGAAGGGAAGGCTCCAGGGAGACCTTACAGCAGTCTTTCAGTACTTACAGCAGGCTTGTGAGAGAGCTGAGGACAGACTGCTTAGCCTGTTGTGACATAAGAGACAGTAGTTTTAAACCAAAAGAAGGTAGATTCAGACAATATATAGGGGAAGAATTTTTTACAATATGAGTGTTGAAACATGGGAACAGGTTGCCCAGAGAGGTGGTAAATGGCCCATGCCTGGAAATGTTCAAGGTCAGATAGGATGGGGCTCTGAGCAACCTGATCTTGATGAAGATGTCCCTGCTCATTGCTGAGGGGTTGGACTGGATGACCTTTAAAGTTCTCTTCCATCCCAGACCATTCTGTGATTCCATGCAGCACTCATGTGTTCTGCAGGGGACACTGAATCCTTCCTAAAGCAGCACACTCTGCTTTTCCCCTTATTTGAGATAGAAGTCAAAGATAAGGGATAGATTTCATAAAGAACACAAGTCATGCAGTAAATATTGCTTTGGCTGACACAACAGCTCTCCAATAACCTTGCATTGCCAAAATCAAATGAATACTTGTTAAATCATTCCTGTTTCTTCCCACCATTTTACTTAAAACTTCAACCTGCAACTAAAATTCTAAGTTGCTTGTTTTTGCTGAAATGCCCACCAGCTTTACAAATTAACTTTATGAATCAACTTAGAGAAGAAAGCCTTTCCCATATGTCTCATAAATTGGACTCATGTACC